GGCCGTGCCACCCGCGTGGCCCCAAACCAGCCCCGATGCCAGGAAGGAGGTGCCAGCCATGGAAAGGCCTAAGCCTCCCCACCGTCAGCCTCCAAACCACTTCAGGAGACAGCGGAATGGCGGCGTTCCGCCTCCCTCTGTCCCCCGACCTTGTGGGGCTGGCGCTGGAGCTCTCCTGAAGCCTGTAGAGCGAGAGGGGTCGGTGCGCACCGACCCCTCTCGCTCTCCAGGCTTCAGTGAAAGCCTGCATTCGCCCCATAGGACACACACACATTTCCCCTTCATTTTTGGAGGGGGAAAAGTGCGTCCTATAGGGCGGAAAATACGGTACATTGGAAACCAGGAGCACCACATTCTGTTTTATTCCCTGGCAATACAGGTGCCCTGCTCTTGTTCATGGGCCCAGTTTGTCAATCCAAATCATGATCAGAAAATACAAGTCTTTGGCAATCCCATTTGCTAGCTCAGATGAAGAAGAAGAAGAGAAGAGGAGTTTGGATTTGATATCCCGCTTTATCACTACCAGAAGGAGTCTCCAAGCGGCTCACAATCTCCTTTCCCTTCCTCCCCCATAACAAACACTCTGTGAGGTGAGTGGGGCTGAGAGACTTCAGAGAAGTGTGACTGGCCCAAGGTCACCCAAAAAAGGAATTAGACAGCAGCCCTCTTTGTTCTTTCTTTAAGCCACAGCATGAGCTGTCAGGCTGGGTCTTTGCAAACAGAAAACAAAATACCAAGAACTAACTTAGTTGGTCTTTAAGGTGCTACTGGAAGGAATTTTTTTATTTAGAAAACAAAATGCCACACCTGGAGAGCCTGTGTAACAGCTTCCCCTCTGCTTCTTTTCCAGTTCCAACTCATGGTCTCCAAAGTCTTGCTAGATTCAATTGGATTTATATGCATCTCACTGAGACTGGATCTTGTACTCCATCTTTTCTGATGATCAGGAGGTAGTTCTATAATTAAATGTATATACCTTCCATCAAGGGTGAGGAACCCTCCAGATGTTATTGGTCTACAATGCCCATCACCCTCAACTATTGACCATGATGCCTGTGATGGAGGGCATTGGCAGTCAGGAACATCTGAAGACCTCATAGATCCCACACAATCTGTCAAATGGTGAACATCTTACTGGAGTTCTGTAAACTAGATGTCCAGGAGTTTAGAGAGGGATAGGATGCAAAATATGAATGTGCTATATTACCTGAAACAATTTTCAAAAAGGCCTTGGAATCCATATAGAACATCTCTTTTGGTTTAAAACTGAGACTGATACCTTGAATTGTTAGCCAGACAAAAAAGAATATTGGGAGATATTTAACAAATAGGAAAATTAGTCAAAGTCTTAGTAAGGAAATATGGCTATATGTGATCACATGATATTATGATGAGAGTTGATCTGAAGCGCCAAATGGTTTTGATTTGTTCAGGATGATGACATTGGGTTGCATCTATTAAGATTGCTGTGATCCTTCGATTAGTGAATCATGTGTGTAATTTGAAAGTATATAAAAAACATTGCTTTGGATGTGGTTCTTTGCAGCCTCCTCCTTATTTTTGAGGCTTTCCCGCTCAATAAAGGCCTATATCTTCACTTGGTGTCTGCATCCTCTTCTGTTGGGTTTCTGTGAAGGTAACCTCCAGGCTAGGAACCCCCTTTAAAAATTCACCAACATTACCCTGTCTCTCAGGGTCCTCCATCAACCATCTACCACCTCCATGAGCTTACAATCTCTGGACCTTAATAAAGGCACCAGGCATAGGACTCCAATGAAAGAACAAAAGAAAAAGAAAGAGGCAATAAGAAGAGAGTGAAAAAATAAGTAAATAGGAGAGAAGAGAGAGAGAGAGAGAGAGAGAGAGAGAGAGAGAGAGAATAATTACAAATTTGTGGGTGGCTGTGTATGTACAAAGTTGAGTTTGGGAGTAGGAAGAGAATTCTCAGCATTGTGCCCTAATACAGTATTGTGCTCCCTAGCTGGGGCTGGCTCTCCTAGGTATTGGGGGAGAGAGAGAGAGAGAGAGAGAGGGAAGAGAGAGAGAGAGAGAGAGAGAGAAGACCAAAAGAAATATTAGAGAAAGATACAAAAAGAAAACTTCATTTTTTTCATCTTCTGTCTATCTCCAGGTAGCCTGTTGTTGTTGTTGTTGTTGTTGTTTGGTCATTTAGTCGTGTCCGATTCTTCGTGACCCCCTGGACCAGAGCACACCAGGCACTCCTGTCTTCCACTGCCTCCCACAGTTTGGTCAAACTCATGCTGGTAGCATCAAGAACACTGTCCCACCATCTCGTCCTCTGTCGTCCCCTTCTCCTTGCGCCCTCCATCTTTCCCAGCATCAGGGTCTTTTCCAGGGAGTTTTCTCTTCTCATGAGTTGGTCACAGTATTGGAGCCTCAGCTTCAGGATCTGTCCTTCCAGTGAGCACTCAGGGCTGATTTCCTTAAGAATGGAGAGGTTTGGTCTTTTTGCAGTCCATGGGACTCTCAAGAGTCTCCTCCAGCAGCAGAATTCAAAAGCATCCATTCTTCGGTGATCAGCCTTCTTTATGGTCCAGCGTTCACTTCCATACATCACTACTGGGAAAACCATGGCTTTTACTATTGCGAACGCAGCAAACCCAGAAGTGTTTCACTGCACGCGCATGCGCAGAAGTGCTCTATTGTGCCATGCATGTGTGCAGAAGCAGCGCCTCATGTTGCAGACTTTTCGGGGTATGTAAGTACCCCTGGAATGAATTAAGTTCATATCTGGAGGGTCCACCATAAAAGGAAAAGGCATCAAACTTTGATAATTACACTGTAAAAGCAGAAGATGAGGACAATATAGAATACCTGCAATGTGTTCTGTCTTATGGGTAGGTGGTTCCCCTGGCCTTGTGCAATGACCCCTGCCATCCAGGTTACAGCAGACAAAGGAAAGAAGGGGAACCATTTTGTTGCTATGAATGTGCTCCGTGTCCAGAAGGGAAGATTTCAAACCAGGCAGGTAGGAAACAACTTCATATCCTTAAATAATTGTTATTAGTTTTCAACTGTGTATGAACCAAACAAGAAGTGTCCTCTTTTCTTTAATGTGTCTCTGCTTAAATAATAAAAAACTAGGTCTCTTTTCCCTTCCATGGCAAATCTGCTGATTCTCTAGCTGCCTTCATAATTGCTTCTTTTTGTGAGGAATGTGCCACTTTTCCTACACTCTTATGAGGCCTGTGTCCTGGGGGGGGTGATGGTGGCAGGATCCTGGGCATTCCATTCTCTGTATGTCTATTGGACTCATGTATATGATGGGGAATTGCTGATTTAACCAGCCCACAAAAAAACCTTTTTTACTGTCACCTCCCTTAGTGCATTTGGGGCTCCTTTCACCCTCAGATGCTCTCATCTACTCCATTCCTCCCAGGCCTGGGGGGATGCAGGGGTACGCATACCCCTAAACATTTTGTGAATCTAAGTTTGGCCTCACTGAGGGGCAGTATTTCAATGAGTAGGAAAATGAAAAATGGGAATTTATTTAAAGACAACTATGAAAAATGCTGAAGTGAAAAAAAAATTTAGAAATCTGGTCAAACTTGAAGCTTTCACTGCTGGGTCGTATTGCTGTGATAAAGATGAATGTATTGCCAAGAATGTTGTTTCTGTTTCAAACATTGCAAATTGTGGACAAAATGGATTGCTTCAAGAAGTGGCAGAGAGATATCTCTAGATTTGTCTGGCAGGGCGAAAAGCCCAGAATAAAATTTAAGATATTAACAGATGCAAAGGAAAGGGGTGGATTTGCCCTGCCAGACCTTAAGCTTTACTATGAATCCGCAGCCTTTTGCTTGTTGAAAGAATGGCTACTTCTTGAAAACACAGACATTTTAGACTTAGAAGGTTTTAACAATGTATTTGGATGGCATGCATATTTATGGTATGATAAGGTCAAAGCACATAAAGCATTCAAAAACCATATTGTCAGGAAAGCATTGTTTAATGTCTGGGTAAGATATAAAGACTTGTTGGAAAATAAAACCCCAAGGTGGCTGTCACCAATGGAAGCAAAAGCTCAGAAAAGGCTCAATATGGAGGCCAAATGGCCGACATATTGGGAAATTTTGGAACAAGAAGGTGACAAATTGAAATTGCAGAGTTTCAAAAAAATTAAAAAACAAAGTGAGAGATTGGTTTCATTATTATCAGATAATGGAGGCATATAATTTGGACAAGAAAATCGGCTTCCAGGTGGAAAAGTCAAAATTAGAAACAGAACTGTTAGAACCCAAAACTAAAAATCTGTCAAGAATGTATAACTTGCTGTTGAAATGGAATACTCAGGATGAAACGGTGAAATCTGTTATGATTAAATGGGCACAAGATGTTGGACATAATATTATGTTTGCTGACTGGGAACAGTTATGGACCACAGGTATGAAGTTTACGGCATGTAATGCCTTAAGAGAGAATATTATGAAAATGATATACAGGTGGTACATGACCCCAGTCAAGCTTGCAAAAATCTATCATTTGCCCGATAACAAATGTTGGAAATGTAAAGAAACGGAAGGTACATTCTTTCACCTTTGGTGGACGTGCCCAAAGATTAAGGCTTTCTGGGAAATGATATATAATGAACTGAAAAAGGTATTTAAATATACCTTCCTGAAGAAACCAGAGGCCTTTCTCCTGGGCATTGTCAGCCAATTGGTGCCAAAGAAGGACAGAACTTTTTTTATGTATGCTACAACAGCAGCAAGAATACTCATTGCAAAGTATTGGAAGACACAAGATTTACCCACTCTGGAAGAATGGCAGTTGAAGGTGATCGACTACATGGAATTGGCAGAAATGACTGGCAGAATCCGAGACCAGGGAGAAGAGTTGGTGAAAGAAGACTGGAAGAATTTTAAAGACTATTTACAGAAATATTGTAAAATTAATGAATGTTAGAAGGATGTTGGAAAGAAACTAAGGGGCTTCCAGCTGTAATGCTTTAGGAGATACGGAAAAAAAAAGGTTTACAAATGGGTAAAAGCTTAATGGTAAGGATTTGCTGAACTAACAAATTGAAGTGGAATACAAAGAAGGGAGGTATGAGGAGGTCTGGGGAAATAAGCGTAAGGAAGATATGTTATGGGAAACTATTTGTTTTTTAATTGTTTTTATGTTGTATTTTGTATTTTGTTTCTTTTTATTTTTCATTGTTATATTTTAAAAACTTTAATAAATATCTTTTTTGGGGGGGGAAAGGAAAATGAGAGTATCCCTAAACATTTTTCTTTTTAGAAAAAAACACTGTCTGCAATACTGAACTACCTTTATTAATCCCCACCCCTTTCAAGATGTGAATGATTGCTTCCACTGTCAGGAACATCTGTATCCTAACACAGAGAAAACCCAATGCCTTCCCAAAAGAGAAAACTTCCTGTCTTATGGAGAAACTTTTGGCATCAGCTTGGCTGTTTTGGCTCTGGCTCTTTCTGCAACCACAGCCTTGGTGCTTGGAATCATCATCAAAAACCGGAACACTCCCATTGTCAAAGCCAACAACCGGAATCTCACCTACACGCTGCTCGTCTCCCTCCTGCTCTGCTTCCTCTGCTCTTTGCTTTTCATTGGCCAGCCTCAGACATGGACCTGCACTCTGAGACAAACTGCTTTCGGGATCATCTTCTCAGTAGCCGTTTCTTTGGTCTTGGCCAAAACCCTCACTGTGGTTCTGGCTTTCATGGCCACCAAGCCAGGATCCAAGATGAGGAAATGGGTGGGGAAAAGATTGTCCATCTCTATCGTTCTTGGCTGCTCCTTTATCCAAGCAAGTGTTTGTATAGTCTGGCTATGTAGCAACCCTCCTTTCCCAGATCTGGACATGCACTCTCTGCCGGACGAAATCATTGTGGAATGCAATGAAGGCTCGGCCAACATGTTCTACTATGTTCTTGGTTACATGGGGCTGCTGGCTCTTGTCAGCTTCATTGTGGCTTTCTTTGCTCGGAAGCTGACGGACGTTTTCAACGAAGCCAAATTCATCACTTTCAGCATGTTGGTGTTTTGCAGTGTTTGGGTGTCTTTTGTTCCAACCTATCTAAGCGCCAAAGGGGAAAACATGGTGGCTGTGGAGATCTTCTCCATCTTGGCCTCCAGTGCTGGGATACTGAGCTGTATCTTTTCCCCTAAATGTTATATAATTATTTTTAGACCTGAGCTGAATAATAAGGAGCAGCTAAAAAGAAAGTAAAAATTTAACATTTGTTTATATTTCTCTAGCAAAATCTAAAATGGATTAGTAGGCTGGAATTTTCATCCCAAAATGTATACGCTTGTTTTGCTTATTTTATTAAATGTTGACTAATGTTATAATTTTGATACCGACCTGCCTGCTGCCTACCAAAGAAAGAATTACATCCATCATGAGCTGTTCAACACACACTTTTTCTTCAGGGCATACCAGCTCTTCCATCCTAAACTGAGATCCAGTTATTCAGCCCTAGCACATTGCTAGGTGCTCAACAAGGACACTAAACAAGGCCAGAGATGAGTGCATGAAAGGCCATCAAATTACTGCTGGTACCATCTGGGTCTCTCGTTACTTGATTTCCTGATACCAGGCGTGATTGAGGTTCTTACTCTGAGAATCTCTGAAACCAGGACTGAACAATAAGGAGCAGCTAAAAAGAAATGTATTTCCCTAGAAAAATCTAAAGTTGATTACTAGGCTGGATCACGTTATGTTTTGGCATTTTCAAACAGCTACTTTTTGTTTTGAATGCTTTTCTGCTGAGGCCTTGCTTTTCTATTAGGCAGGCTTAGGGAATCGCCTCGTGTAGAGGGGCAGTGTAGCTATCTCCTTCTGTACAAGCCCATTCTCCCTGTATCTGGACATAGTTTGGAATAGTCTCCCTGTTCCCAAAATCCACGAAGAAGTAGTGCACAGCACAGGTTGTCCATTCAATATTGCAGGGGGCACAGTTTGTAGGGGATTGGATTAGCAGAAAGAGCATTAATTTTTGTAAGTAAGTGATTAAAAATTAATTCTTTCATTTTAAAAAAAAATTGAAAGGCTTCTCACACAGGATATTCATCACTAAGAATTATTATTTTTATATTGATGTTTCATGTTTTGTCCTAGAGTGTGTGGGGGGGGGAGATGAATTGTAGCACTGGCATTTTTATCCCAAGCATGCTCTGCTTCCTCATATATTTGATATTGGGAGTCACTGTAGCTCAGCCTAAATCCCCCTTCTCTGTCATGCTGGTGCAGCTAGAAGGGATCAGGGAGATCTGCTGAATTGAGAAGTTCTGAGACCTTGGAGAGCAATTATTTGTAATAGTGTGAGCTGTTTCATAAGGGGACAGGTGGTCTTCCATGCTAGTAGAACCCCCTTCATTAAAAGTTTCTAAGCAGATGATGGATAGCCAGCTTTGGGGGGGTGAAAACACCACAGTATCCACTGTCCCTCATTCCAAGGAAGGAAGCTGGAACCCCTGGAATCTTGCACTGCTCAGAGTTTGGGGTGGAATGCAGCAGAGGAGAGGGGTGTGTGTCTTGATGCAATTGAATGGTTGTGTGGTAGTCACAGCCAACAGAGGTTCAGGTGCTCCACCAGGGTAAAAAATAAAGGTTAATCCATCAGTGACTTGTTGCAATAAAGGTAGATGCAAACTTGCATGCCTTAACAGAACTTCAACCAAGTGCATAAAGGGGCTGTTTGATTCATATCACATGATCAAATGGAAGAGTTTTTCTTTTTTTCCTAATTTTCTAATTCTCAACATTAAGAAGATCTGCCTAGTGTACATATATATATAAACTAAACTAATTGATGATTTGTATAGATTCAGAAAATGGTCTGTGTAACACTGAGAATGAAACTTAGTTTATGTACATAACACCTGAAAATAAAATGACATCAATATCACACGAAAAGGGAAATAAGTCTCTTAAGAGAGAGAAAAAACAGGGAAACTAAAAAGCAGTCTAAACTTCCTAAATTTACATAAAGCCTTCATAACTTGATATGTGGATGATATTGTATGGCAGCAAAACTAAATGAAATCCTCTGAAATGAGAAACTGGTGGTGCAAAATTAGTACATACCTTATATTTTGGTTACGTCCAAATATTAAGATTTATTGGCATCTAAACTTGCTAGAATTAAATAATACAGCAGGCTACAATCTTCCTAGGAATTCATTGATACAATATTTCCTTACTCTAATCATAGCTGACTTAGTGGAAAACTTGGCCCACTCACTAACAGCAGCTCACGTGACATTTTCTGATCTGAAAATAATAATTATAAATATTGCTGGAATGCAATGAGATTGAGTTGTGCTTGGTATGCTGCTTATTTGTTTCTTCTAATCAGCTGCCCCCTGGTGTTCAGCTGAGGCCTCAGTAAAATAATATAGCATTTGGGGGAAAAAGATGCACCCCAGTAATCCAAAGCTGGAGGCCAAGATGGAGAAGACCTCCACAACCACCATGAATTTTCCTTTTGTGCTCATGTATGTTGGTACAAAGGACAACCAAACAGTACAAAAGACCAACATGCTAAAGGTGATAAACTTGGCTTCATTAAAGCTGTCAGGCAACCTCCTAGCTAGAAAAGCCACAACAAAGCTGACAACGGCCAGGAAGCCCATGTAGCCTAGGATACCATAAAACATGAGGTCTGACCCCTCATTGCAGAACAGTACAATTTCTTTGAGCATTGTGTGTGTGTCCAGATCTGGGAATGGGGGAGAGGTTGCCAGCCACACTGTGCATATGGTGGCTTGAATAAGAGAGCAGGAAAGAACAAGAGAATTGGACAACGGTTTCCCCACCCATCTTCTCATTTTGGAGCCTGGCTTGGTGGCCATGAAAGCCAGAACCACAATGGTGGTTTTGGCCAATATGCAAGAAACTGCCACTGAGAAGATCGTGCCAAAGGCAGTTTGCCGAAGGAGGCATGTGAGCTCTACAGGCTGGCCAATGAAAAGCAAAACACAAAGGAAGCAGAGCAAGAGGGAGATGAGGAGAGTGTAGGTGAGGTTCTGGTTGTTGGCTTTGACGATGGGAGTGTCGTTGTTCTTCACAAAGATTCCAAGCACCAAAGCAGTGAGGAAAGAAAAAGAGAGAGCCAAGGTAGCCAAACATATCCCCAAAGCTTCTCCATAAGACAAGAAGGTTTTTTGTTTTGGAAGGCATCCATCCTGGTCCTTGTTTGGATGCTGGTCTGCAAGGCATTCAAAACATTCATCCATGTCTGAAAAGGAAAAGACAGATATTTGTACATGGAAGCCCCATTTCTTGTGGTTGGCAGATAGCATGCACAAGTATTGAAAGGCTTTGAATTATGACTCCTAGGTCAGTTGTATAGGACAAGTTCTTATGTTCAGAAGAAGTCATTTTCAGCTATGATCCCCAAGCAATGTGCATCTTAAGGTCAGTGGGAAGAAGTTTCCCTCAGGTACAGCACTGAAGATCGGTCTCCAGCGCCTACCACCTGGGTGTCTGATTTCCAGCTGTGGACAGTGGTACCCTAACAACTCTAGTCCTTGCCATTGTAACCTCAAAACTGGCTGATTGCAATTCTTTCTGTGGGGCTGGCCTTGTTTGGAAGCCCCAGCTGGTGTAAAATGTAGTGGTTAAATCTTTAATGGGACACCATTAAAAAATTTGTACTGGTTGGCAATGTACTACCAAGCTAGGTTCAAGGACCTTTTAATATTTTACAAAGCCCTCAACCCCTCTGGTCTAGGCTTTATCCACTCATTTAGTAGCCAGTTGAAGAAGAAGAAGAAGAAGAAGAAGAAGAAGAAGAAGAAGAAGAAGAAGAAGAAGAGGAGGAGGAGGAGGAGGAGGAGGAGGAGGAGTTTGAATTTGATATCCCGCTTTATCACTACCCGAAGGAGTCTCAAAGCAGCTCACATTCTCCTTTCCCTTCCTCCCCCACAACAAACACTCTGTGAGGTGAGTGGGGCTGAGAGACTTCAGAGAAGTGTGACTGGCACAAGGTCACCCAGCAGCTGCATGTGGAGGAGCGGAGACGCGAACCTGGTTCACCAGATTACGAGACTACTGCTCTTAACCACTACACCACACTGGTTGGTCACAGCGGGTCTCCAAATCTTCCAGAGCTCCCCCCCCCCAATGGGAGTCAGTAACCTCCAAAGCCACAAAATAAGCATTTTTCACAGCCCACACAGTCTCATAGAAGGATGATTATGTTTGCTAATAAGCTTTTCATTGGCTTCAGAGCAAGACTTGCACTAATTGTGTTCCAGTCTTCTTCCAGCTTGTTTCATAGTCTGCAGCTCCTCAGAATACCAAGGGGGTCCTCAGGCGCCACACTTGTAACCCAAGGACAGTTTTCCATGGTAATAAATCAGACCACACCTGATAGCACAGCATACACACCAGAGAAATTGAATTCTGATCATCCCTTGAATGGTTTGCAGTAAATTCCTTACCCTTTTGGTCTGAGATCTTCCCTTCTGGACACGGGAGGCAATCATAGCAGCAAGAAGCCTTCCCTTCTTTCTTGGTTCTCCGATAACCTAAATGGCATTTCTCATTACACAGGGAAACCGGTAGTGTCTGTGCATAAATAAAATGAGATAATAGTATCAGAGATAGAATATGAAATCTATAGTTAAGCATTAGGGCAGTGATAAAGGAAAATGCTATTATTCCTTTTCAGAGAGCACTTTCTAGGCATCTGCAGCCAGAGCTAGTTGTACTACCAGGAACTCAATTTATCCTGTAGAATAACTTTATCTTAATCCTCTTGTTAAATATGCCAATGCTCTCAAAGCTGAGCCTATGGCTTTATCACTTTAGAATGCATTCAAGAATTGTTTGATATAATTTCATTCATTTTTTCCCCAATGGTAAGGCAATTTAGAATACAGTCAGCTGTTGCTTGTCATGATTCCCAGCCTGATTCCCACAACAATCTTCTTCATTTTTACATGTTAACCATTTAACTTTGTTTTGAGTGATGACTGTTGCAACTGGGGTTCTTGAATTATTTTCATAACATTGGAAGCCCTCGACCTATAAGGTTTCTCAATATTACTATTGTTTAAAATATTAGTGAAATAATACAGAGTCAATCATTATTTGGCTTCAGGGACTTTCATATACAATGGTACCTTGGGTTAAGATCTTAATTCGTTCCAGAGGTCCGTTCTTAACCTGAAACTGTTCTTAACCTGAAGCACCACTTTAGCTAATGGGGCCTCCTGCTG